AGCCCGGGCGCCCAGAACGGGACCTTGAGCGAAGGCCAGGGCAGCGCCATCCTCATCTCCTTCATCTACTCCGTGGTGTGCCTGGTGGGGCTGTGTGGGAATTCCATGGTCATCTACGTGATCCTGCGCTACGCCAAGATGAAGACCGCCACCAACATCTACATCCTCAACCTGGCCATTGCCGACGAGCTGCTCATGCTCAGCGTGCCCTTCCTGGTCACCTCCACGCTGCTCCGCCACTGGCCCTTCGGCGCGCTGCTCTGCCGCCTCGTGCTCAGTGTGGACGCGGTCAACATGTTCACCAGCATCTACTGTCTGACCGTGCTCAGCGTGGACCGCTACGTGGCCGTGGTGCACCCCATCAAGGCAGCGCGCTACCGCCGGCCCACTGTGGCCAAGGTGGTGAACTTGGGGGTGTGGGTGCTCTCGCTGCTGGTCATTCTGCCCATCGTGGTCTTCTCACGCACGGCGGCCAACAGTGACGGCACCGTGGCCTGCAACATGCTCATGCCCGAGCCCGCGCAGCGCTGGCTGGTGGGCTTCGTGTTGTACACGTTTCTCATGGGCTTCCTGCTGCCCGTCGGGGCCATCTGCCTGTGCTACGTGCTCATCATCACCAAGATGCGCATGGTCGCCCTCAAGGCCGGCTGGCAGCAGCGCAAGCGCTCCGAGCGTAAGATCACCCTGATGGTGATGATGGTGGTGATGGTGTTCGTCATCTGCTGGATGCCTTTCTATGTGGTGCAGCTGGTCAATGTGTTCGCGGAGCAGGACGACGCCACCGTGAGCCAGCTGTCAGTCATCCTCGGCTATGCCAACAGCTGCGCTAACCCCATCCTCTACGGCTTCCTCTCGGACAACTTCAAGCGCTCTTTCCAGCGCATCCTGTGCCTCAGCTGGATGGACAACGCCACGGAGGAGCCCGTGGACTACTACGCCACCGCCCTCAAGAGCCGCGCCTACAGCGTGGAGGACTTTCAGCCTGAGAACCTGGAGTCCGGGGGCGTCTTCCGCAATGGCACCTGCACGTCCCGGATCACAACTCTCTGAGCCGGGCCCTCGCAGGGGAGGGTGAGGACAAAGGGGAGCCGGGTGTGAGAGGTGAACGTATCCCAGGGGGCAGGGTGCGGTGTGGCAAAGTGGGAATAGGACACTGTGCGCTCCGGTCTTCGGCTGAAGAGACCTGGGAAAGGAGCACGACAGAGGTGGAATCGGGCGTTTTGCGTGTAAACGGGGAAGGCTTGCGAGCCCCCTTCTCCACTCTCCCGCCTTCCTACAGGGCGTCTGTACTTCTGCACCCTCTACACTTCCCACTCTGTAACTTCGATCTTTCCTGCCGCCCAGTCCTGCCTGTGCAGATCCTGAACTCTTTACCGTCTCCAACTCAGGCCGCCAGCCGTGCTTTCTGTGTGTTTAAGCCTAGCCAGGGGTTTCCCGAGGGGTGAGTCCCAGCTGGCCCTCAGCCGCGCCCCTGCGCTGGCCAGATTCCGCCTGGTGCCCCTAGCGGGGTCTGGAACCACCGCTCTCCCCCTTGCACCGCCCTAGTTTAAGGGAGACGGACTCCAGAGTGAACCGCGCAGCCGGCCCTTTCTCCTGCTCTACAGCGAGGCTGCGTCGCCCTCCGAGCCCCCTCGCCACTCCCACGCCACCCGGAGCGGAGCCAGGTGCTTAGCAAAATCGGTCCCGCGCTTCGAGCCCCAGGCATTGCGCGGCTCCCATCCAAACCCCCTTTGGAGCCAAAAGGAGCTGAGAACAAGGGCCGAGGTTGGGGACGGGAAGAGGGATTGTAATGGAAGCCACCGCCTCCAGCCCCGCTTACCGCCGGGCTTTAGGTTTCAAAGACCGGCGCTCCTGGGCGCTGGTCTGCCTTAGGCCACCGAGGGCAGGGCGGACTTTCCACGAGGGCCGACTGGGAGCGTGGCTGCAGCTACACTAGGGTGTATCCCTCACCCAAACGTCAGAGGTGCAGATCTAAGAGCAGCGACAGACTCAGTTTCCTGCTCTGGTTTATTCTAAGACAGAGCCCTGGGGCCGGGACCTCTGGTGCCGCCTACAGAGCCCTGGCCTTTCCCCGCTGTGTCGCCGCCACCTGCAGGCTAGAGAGTGGGCCTGTCAGGCCCCAAGGGTTGCCCCTTTCAAGCGGTGCCAAATAAGTTATTTTCCTGTTTAACATACTTATTTATTTATTTGTGGTGTTTGAAAATTTCTCTGCTTTCCTTTTCTCTGTTTGCCAAGCCCAGGGCTTTTCCTCCAGGACACTGAGGGTGAGGGTGCAGTGTGTGTGTGTGTCTAAGGCTCCCTCAAAACCTCTCCTCTTTGCTGGTCCTCTTTTATTATCCTTTTCCAGCCTTTCTATTTTTGCTTGTATCCAGTGAGTTTGGAGATTTTCTTATACTTTCCTTATGTAGTCTCTTGTTTGTCTTATAATAAATAAATGATTATGTGGGTTAGCCTCCTCTCATGCAGAGTGAAAAGCTCTGTACTCCTTGCTTTCAGCATCACCTTGTATATGATTTGGGTATGCATAATATATATTTACATATTATGTATATTTGTTTATCTTGCTCCATTGTCACGAGTCCATAAAATAGCTCCCAAATAGAGCCACTAACAATAACAGGTGTAAGGCTGGCTGAACCACTTTCAGATAAGGGGGTGCAAGCAGCACTCAAACCTGGAACTCCGAAGTCTGATTCAGATAGACTTGATCCATGTTGAGGATGTCCCTGCTTCCTCTAGTTTTCCGCATAGGTGAGTCCAACACACAGTCCAGTTCACATCATTATTCTTTTAAAGACATTGAAAATGTAGTAAGTTGTGTCTGTATTTAATCTTACAAACTACATTGGAAGCCTGAGCAGGACAAGGACCAATAATTTTACTTCTTTGTATTTCCTGTATTGTTTTAGTATACTGGCTTGTACATAGTAGGCACTAAATACGTGTTTGTTGGTTGAGGGCTTAGGTTAGCCAGAGTGCATTACAGCGATCCATCGGGAGGTGGTAGGTCTGGGGCTCTCGGGTCTACCATTGACATGATACACAATGGTTGAGATCACTCTGGAAAAAGATGTTTCTGTATATTTCCTTCAAGAACATTGTGCTTTCCTGAAAGCAGTAACCAAGAGTTCAAATGCCCCTTATGTTTAGTTTAAACTAATTAACAAATATGCTTTTGGTTCTAAATCAGAAAGTTTCATTCTGTCCCTTAATAATAATATATATTATTACTCTTTTGAAAAATAGATTTTGAAACTATCTTTATTGTTGAAAGTAATACATATGTCTTCTTTTTTCCCCCATTGACCCCTTTTAGCCTGCCCCCATGCCCCCCCTCAGCCTTCACTACCCTATTGTCTGTGTCCAAGGGTTATGCATACAAGTTCTTTGGTTGCTATCTTCCCGCCCACCTACCCCCATCTTCTCTCTGAGATTTAACAGTCTGTGGAAAATAGATTTTTAACTGGTGAAATTTACAAATCAAAACCTTGATCATTAACCTCTTAAGAAGATACAAATCTAGTGCTCTTAACCTGTTACCATTGTAATATTAACCAAATAAACAAATGTATTATGTTGTTTCAAATTGTCTGACTTTGCCATTTGAATTTTACTATTTCAACGGATTACCTAAACACACACACACACACACACACACACACATACACACACACACACACTGGCTGAGTTGTTTTATGTTCCACTTAAATTTTTAAGAAGAAAAATTTCAGATTACCTTTGGACATTTCTACCAAGATTAAGGTTACACCTTGAAATATATTTTTAAAGAAAAGTCTATTAATTTAGAGAGGGGAAACAAACAAACAAACCTTGAGTGATATGAATCGGAAGCACTGTACTAGGTTGCACTCTCTATGCTTTTCTGTTGTCACCAAACTACCTGATATTTCAATCTCTCAGAGATTAAATTGCTGTCTGCCTGCCCACATTTATGGCCTCACACTTTGTTGTGGGAGCTAAGTAATTGCTGATTTACATCCCAGGGAAAGATAATGTAAAGAAAAGAAAAAATGTTTGCCTAAAGGTGTCACAGGGCGCAATGGGTAAAAGAAATAGAAAAATTAGATTTCAACATAAGAGAAGAAAAACATATCTTATGCTTTGCCTCTCTGCCCTCTGCTCTCTGTACACCTGGGTGGTTCCTGGCTGCAGTTTGTTGAAATCCGGAGCCTGTGATTGATCACCTCTCAGTGTGGTGAGGACCATACCTGTGGGCTGCAGCCCTGTGTCTTCCCTGCCCATGCAGCCTGCTGGCCTGCCCCAGCCTCTGCCAGGAGTGACCTCGCCCTGCTGCAGGCAGCCCTGTGGTGAGCCTCTTGACTCACTGACTAGAAGGGACCTGTGGTAGCTCTAGACTGGTGACCCTTGGGATCTCCTGTCTGCTATCTATTTCTGTAGCTCTGGCATAGGTCTTTTGCCTCTGTCCTTACCTTTGTCAGCTTCTCTTATTAAAAGCATTCCACACACCCCGCATCTCATTTGCACTAGAGGAAAGACTTAACCTTGGCCTTCGATGTGCTAAAGTAGGAAAAAAGGATTTGGCAAATTTCTGTGCAACCCCATCCCCACCGCTTCAGCTGATTTCCAAGCCTTTTTGTGTTGCTTAGCACTTGAAGACAAGCCCTCTCCAATCCTTAGGTGATGAGCCTCACCTCAGGGTGAGAGACTACAATGAAACATGATTTCCCAATTAAGTTAAAATGTATCAGTTCAGTGCCTGTGAACTATTATGTCTTACTGGTGACCTTTGTGCTCCCAGGATAGAATCTGTCAGGCCACCTTCTCACACAATATCCCCAAAAGGATTATGTTTGAAATTTTGATGGCTCATCCAATTTAACCCTGACCATTGTACGAAATGCTGAATGTATAGTTTTGGCCTGAAAAAGAAGGCAGGGAGTTCTCTTGGAAAATATTATGGATGATACATTTTAAAAAGGTGATATATTTCTAATTTATTTTAAACAAAAAATAGAGATGTCATAATCTGTCTTCTAAAACCACTTTGGTAATATGGTTATACTTGGCAAATTTTGCTCATTACCTCCTTTATTCCAAATACCACATCAGAGAGGTTAGGTACTCAATTCAAATGATTGGTAGATGTTTTAAATAATCGTTACAGCGGTGTATGCTTTAAAAATACAGTGTTACAGAGTCTATGCTGATCCCTTGTCCCACCATGCACTTTGAGCCAATAAGGACCTCTTCTACGTGTTCAGATGGATAGCTTGCTTTTCATTCAACATATTTCAGTTCCTTAAAAGAAGACAAAGGGGTTTAACATTATTACATGGTTCCCTTAGATTAGAGGGAGGCAGGCACAAATATAACATTAGTGATTATTTACTATTTTGTTCAGTATCTGGACACAAGGCATTATAATGAGACCTAATGAAATGACTGCGTTAGGGATGATTAGATAGTCTGGCTTCCGATTTCAGCTATAAAGGAAAGGAAGGTGTTTCTGCAATGTTAACAAAGTTGAGGAGGTCTGTGGACAGAAATAACCAGTTCAAACTAAAATGTAAAATACCTGCTTGTCACACTGCTGGGTAGAGAGGAGCATCATCTAAAAAGGAGATATAATTTTAAATAGAAATCCTTTGGTAAAATGTCCACTTTGATAATAAACTTTTTTTGGGGTCAAATCATCTATTAAATCTTATTAGCCAAAAGATGGAAGTATATACACATTTAAGAATGGGACTGCAGGCATGATCCCAAAATTCTTTGAAATAATAATGAGCTCAAAACTTTAAAAATAAATATCTCTTTACACCAGATTGATTCCAGCCTTCAATTTTGAGTGGACAAGATGCATAAAAACAAATGAGATGTGGAGAATGCTATCAACTAACGGCTTTCTCTGCAGTGGAGTTCACCTCCATGTCCTCCTCATGTCGACATGCCCAGTTACAGATAAAGACTTCAGGTACTCCAAATCCCTCCACTCCCCCCTTTTTCCTCCTCCCATTATTTTGAAGTCAAAGTTGTTCTACTTTTATGTTCTGTTTTCTCTTTGAAAGCTTTTTCCCTCCCCACTACCTTTCCAAGGACCAGTTGTTGATTCTTTCTTTTTTCACTCTGCCTGCATCATTGATTCTGCTTCCATGACTGACACCTGCCATTGCAGTAGCTCAGAGCAGAGGCTTTGGAGTTTTACTTGCCTGGCTTTACATCCTGGCTGCAATAAATTCTACTTGTGTGACCTCATAGAGTTGTTGTGAAGATTAAATAAATTATTTGGAACTCTTGGAACCATGCTTTCAATGTAATATATGCTTAATAAAATATTTGTTTCATCAAAAAATTATTAATATGTCCTTCCCCAAGTAGACTATATATCAGACTCCACTTGGGGAAGGACATGTTATAGACACACTGTAGAATATTATGTACAGAAATTGTTCTGACTTTCACAATACTACCTATATCAAAAGACAACTAATACTCCATTTAAATTTAAAGAGGAGAAAAAAATCCAAGACAGGTAGGCAAGGAGGAAAATATTGTACAATGACCCATGTGACTTACATGACTATTCTGGGAAATGTCCAAATATTGATGAACAAGAGCTCTCATTGTGTTCTTTCTGTCTCTATAACCCTTGAACAATTCATTAATCTAGCTAATATTATTAGCAATGGCAAAATGTGTATTCAAAGTCAATAATTAAATTAAACGTTCTCCTTCCTGTCCAATGAACCACTGTAATTAGCAAATCAAGAGGATGTCTGTATGCCTTCTCTAAAGGACTCTTGAGTTTCCTTATGTATACACTGTGTGGGATCTGAACTTACACACACACACACACACACACACACACACACACACCTTAAGCAAAAGGAACTTTTGGGGTAACAATTAGTAAAATAGAACTACTCTGTTTCCCTCCCTTTCCCTTTTAAGTTTCAATTTCCTAACCCTTCTGCCCCAGCCACGACCCTTTGTTTTCTGACTTTTGCCACTTCTTCCAGTAGAGCTCTTCTCAGAACAGGATTTCCTTTGGTTTGTAGTCTACATCACTGACAAGGCTTCACATGTTATCTTTCAGAAACAAGGCTTTAAATAAGGATATCAAGCAGCATTATTCTTAAAATCACATCTTTTTTCTAAGGCAAATCTTTCTTAAGAAGTGCTCCAGAATTACCCAAGAACCTGAAACATGCCTATTCCATATGCTTCACCATAGAGATTTTGATTCCTTAGGTCTGAGATGAATCTTAGTATTCCTAAAATACACTAACATTTGAGAACTAATAATTTAAGTGATAAAAGCATGGAGTTTATCATCAGTAGACATGGTTCTACAATATTCATTGTGTGATACTGGGCAAGTTAATCGCCATGATGGACATTTTGCTCATCTATATGATCAGAACAATAATACCTCCTTAATAGGGCTATCGGATGAGCCAATGCATGTCAAATCCCAAATCAGTCAGAACTCTCTTAGTTGTGAATGAATGAAAACCTCAATAGCTCACATAACTGACAATTCTTGAGTAAGATCTGTCTTCAGGGTGTACCTGATCCATAACTCATTATGACCTTTTTTTCCAGTCAACTTTTTCATCTCTGACTTTTTCCATGTTGGCTCCATTCCCAGACTATTCTTTTCTAATTGCAATACAGCAGAAACTGAAACATGACATTTTTCTAGGTTCAAATTTCAGGGGCAAGAGTAAAAATATCTCCCTCTAATTGGACTGTCTAAGATGGTTCATCTGTGGGGAGGCACCCCTCCATGTATCGCTGCTCCATAAGTCTTATATGCCAACAATATGAGGCCCTGACTGCTTTTTACCTGGATCATTTCTCAAGGTTATGTTTGCAGCAAGCAGTCTTGAGTGATCAGGTAATATCTCTTTCAAGGACAAAGCGAAGGCTTGATTACTGTTTGATATAAAGTGGTGGTTTCCCCAAGATCAGTGTCCCTCAGCTGTGTTACAGACTCACTACTGCACAGCACTCATCAGGGCTTATACTTCATTACCCCCATGAGAATCAGCCCTTCATCTCTCCCAGATGTAAGCCCCGTCGGTTTTCAAAGCCAGATGCTATGGGGGCTCCTCTTTCTGATACAGGTTCCTCAGGCTAGGGGTCAGACCCCTCACCCTTCAAACACAACCTCCACAGTCGCGATATCCCTCTCACTTGTA